CCTTATTAGGGATTGTATAGGGATAATGTTGAGAAATACCCACTTTGGAGGCAGAAGAAAGCCACGGCCTGTGCTCGCTGCACCTTGGCGCGCAGCAGCTCCTCGTAGATTTCCTGCAGTAAGGTTTAAGGGTTTAAGGTTTAGAATCACAAAAAAAACACATCCAAAATAGTCTCTCAAACTACACCATGACGATTTTAGGGAAATACCTCTCTCGTCCGGAACGCTTACAACTTTAGAGTCTAGGTGTGGGGCATTTAGGATTGAGGTTTCAGGGTCTAGCCTGAGACCCGAACTCCTTCGGAGTTCCCGTTGTATACAGTTTACGAGATCTCAAGTAGCACCTAAGCCCCTTTAAGCCCCCTATAGAACTGTAGTCCCCATAGACCTACAATGAAAGTACTTGTTCTAATGAACCTTTAGGGCTATAGTGCAACAAAAACAGAGAATTGTTCCTAAGGAGACTACAGTATAGTCTAAAATCCTAGTATCAACCTTTTAACACCCCTATAATAGTCCTCTAGATAATCCCTTATATAGCCCCTTTAAGGAGTTTAGACCCTAAGAGCTAAACCCTACATCCTAAACCCTATATAACGTAAGTTTGCAAGGCCGCATCTGTCCTGCTCCAGCTCAAACATGGCCTGCCAAAGTAAGCACTCGAACGCAGGGCTGGGGTTTAGGGTTTGGGGTTCGGAGTAGCCCTGAAACCCCAGCTATCCAAGTGTTTAGCTGTCAGGATTCACATTTTAGGGATTTAAAGGTTTAGGGATTTTACTTCAAAACCAGAGAAGAATCAAACAGAAACGAACACGGAACGTGAAATGGAATGAGGGGTTTGGCAGGAATAGTTGCCAAGACATTACTTCAATGATGCGCTCAAGAGTTGCATCAGACAGTTCCTTCAGCAAAGCTGTGCAAAAACAACTAAACCCTAAACCCTAGACCAGAAGCTGTAGGCCTTTGCTTTGTTTTCTCGACTTGGGAGTAACAAGGCTTGCATGGCATTGGAATCCTACGTCCTACCTAGAAGGTCCTGCGTATCCTTTTTCATGCTAAGCCTGCTAAGCCCCCCTAGAAGCTAGGCAGGCGTATTGCAAAACAGTAGTGTTATCTACAGGCACAAGTACAAGAGACGATGGGACCGTACCTGGGTTCCCTACCTACCCGAAAAGGGCCCCAGAATAAGGCAGCATGGGCCTGATCCCTTCCCTAACTCAAATCGGAATTTCTGAACTTGGGGGAGATCCTTAGGGACCCTAAGCAAATGTAGCAGACTATATTGGGATTTGGGGGGGCCTTCCTTGGGGATTGTATAAGGCTTAGGGTCTAGGGTAAGTGTTTTGAGAAATCCCCAAACGATCCTCAGGGCGTTATCAATCCGACCTGTACTGTCCAGTTCTGAAGAAGACGTCCAATTTCATGGGCATCTGCTGCAAACACATAATACCATGTGTAGCATAGGCCAGATCTATCGAGTTCCCTGCTTCACGTCGGATGTGGACCTTTATGAATAGCGTAGTAGAACGTTGTACCTGTTGAGGTTGGGGTTTCCAATTTGGGGGTCGGGGCCGCTTGTAATGTTCCCTGAACAGCCGTTGGGCACCGCAGCAGCCACACTCTATGGCGCTTACAAAGAGAAAGTCTTGGTGCCTGCTTTCTATCTTAGCATCGAAATCACCAGAACTGGAAAGCTTCGAACTAACAGAGGACAAGGATTTTCACAAGCGCTCAATGGGCTCGAAGGATGGGATAACGGTAGAAGATGAGGCGGTAGAACGTGTGTGTGGGCTTCACAACCGGCATAGGTATAGGCCTCATTTAAGCATTCCCAGGAAAAGGAAGATTGGCAGGCGGGAGCCATCATTCGCCCGCCGGGTCATAGTCCCGGTGTCTTTAGTCCCAGTGTCTTTTTGATCAATGTATGGGCAATGGGTCATCGAACTCCTTGGGCATGGATGCTCTGGTCATCGAACTCCTTAACAGACGACTTTAGGCGAGTGCCCCACATGGTGCGCAAGCGGCTCTCCACTGAGCCCCGGCAAACACCAGGAGCACTGGGACAAGAAGCACTTCTATCTCATGTTCTATGACCTGCGAGCCGCAGTAGTAGTATTAGTATTAGTATTAGTATTAGTAGTAGTAGTAGTAGTAGTAGCAGTAGCAGTAGCAGTAGCAGTAGCAGTAGCAGTAGTAGCGGTAGCGGCAGCGGCAGCGGCAGCGGCAGCGGCAGCGGCAGCAGCAGTATACTTATAATGGCAACAGTAACAGGGACAGTGACAGCAACAGCAAATGTAAAGCCATTTCTAACAAGAAAAGAATGTTCATCCCGCTTGTGCTGCACCCAGCCTCCTGGTCTAGCCGCTCGTCTTGCGGCACTTCCTTTCAACATGCGGCAATTACCTACAGCGGGTCCAAGCACACCAATAATTCGGCGTGGGGTCCCAAATGCTGTAATCTGAAGAGTTTTTGGTACCGAGATACCTTAACAAGTAAAAAATCAGAACCACAAACTCAGCCAGCTTTGGAATGTTTTCATGTTATAATTAAGCCATGAATTGAGGTGAGGTTGGGTAAGGACATTGTGATTCGCTCAATGTACAGGTTTATGATTGCTTGCGCTGAGCTGCGATTCTCGTCCCCTCTTTTCCAGGCTCCTGCTTTTGCGATTGCAGCTATAGCTGCTGTAACGTTGCCACCCTTCTACATCAATGCAAGTATAGTTGACCTGCTACTGTACTGTAATGAGCCTGGCCAACGGCGTGTTAATTTTCACTATCGTTCTTGTATTCTCGTTCCTGCTGGCTTTGCGGTTGCAGGAAGAAAGAGGGCCTCGGAAAAATGTGCTTTCTCAACATCACAGTAAGGATTTAACAACAACAACTACTACCGCTGCTGCTACTACTACTGGTGCTACCACTATTACTACTACTGCTACTAAGGGCCATGTGGTAGCCCCTGATTTGAGACCGCCCCATGGAATTTCACCCCTCACCTTCAAAGAAAAGCTCAACACTCTCACGACTGCACACTAACCCCTGACCCAGACGAACATAGAACACACGTAGCCCCTTTTAAAGGATGGTAGTTTTTGCAGGGCCATTTTGGGCATTCCATGTTGGTTGGGTTCGGGAGATAGTAGCTTCCATTTTATTTTCCAATACCTCAATATAAACACAATAAAACCCTTATATAACCCCACTGTAACCCCTATATAACCCTATAAACCCCAACTATAACAACCCTGAACCCTAACCCCTATATAACCACTGTATAGTAAACCCCAAAGACCAGGCCAACCTGGACAACGTCATGCGCCAATTGTCGGAGCTGGCCCTCTGCGCCTCAGGACAAACCACTTCTGCTCCCCAAATTCCTATACTCAGTTTAGGGTTTAAGATTTAGGGCTGAAAGCCACAGAGGGCTCTATGCGTTCGGGAGAGGATAGGAGCTTTCATGGAGGAAAACCCAAGAAACTCCATGCAGGTTGGGGGGCAGCTTTCGCACAGACGCCCATATGTAGGCAGCAACGCCACCACACCAGCACCACTCATGTGATTCTAGTCTGAACTTGCTCTAACGGTCCGGGCTAGCGTCGCATCTTCTCTATCTACCCCGGAGCCCTTCCAAACATGAAATTTAACCGCATATTGGGTCTAGAATGAGCAAGCAACATTTTCCAGACATCCCCTGTCTTGGCGTTGCATTTACTAACATAACATGGGCCCGCGTACCGGTCCGCGTGAGCAGTGGTCGCCCTTACTCGGACTTGTGAATTTCCATAAACAAGGGGCCGAAACATAGACCCACATGTACTATAACCTTCATTACCTGAAAGAGCCTTCAGTCTTCATTCTCATTCTTCTCGGGTGGCCGTGCATATCCCTGAACATGAGCCGATCCTGGTTTATAGGCACCACGCAAACAAAAAACACACTGAACCCTAAGCACTTGTCCGAGAAGCTCTGATTGCCGGAGAACTTCTCTAACTGAGCTCAAGCATGGAAATTCTCAAAAGATCCCTTCGGAATGCCGAATAAGGAATGCAAATACCCCTTATAGCATGCCTAAATCCCAAACCCAAAGAATCCTAGTTCTAATCTATTGCTAGGGCCCTAAGGTCCTCCAACTTTTTCCAAAGAGGGTTTTGGTATCCCTCTTAAGCCCCAAAAATTAAGATACTATTTTGGCGGCCGTAATGTCTTCTTGACTTTGGGGGCTGAGGTTCCCAAAATTATGGACATATTTTGTTGTAGTGTCCTAATTTTGGGGGTTGGTGTTCCTGAAATTACTACCATATTCGATAGATCCACCATATCTGGTCAGGCGCAAGGGTGATCATCTGGAGTGATTCCCCGCAAGCTTTCCAGAAGTGCCTGGCACCAAGAGGCATAACCTTGCCCTCTACTTTGCCGGTTGGTTTAGGGTTTTTTTTCACTGTGATGGCGCCGGCCCTTTTATCCAAAGCAGCATCTGCCCTTCGGGCACACACGGATTCAGCACGCCCACGCTTCTTTTCCGTGAGAAAAGTGCTGAGGCACAACCCTACGTTGACAAAATCGGGGCTCTTAATCACATTGAAGACATCTTGGCCATGCACCAAATTGGTCCCGTATTTTCAGGGCTCTTAATCACATTGAAGACATCTTGGCCATGCACCAAACTGGTCCCGTATTTTCAGGGCTCTTAATGACATTCGCGCAAGAGAAAGCAAGGGTCCCATAGCTTCAGGGTTCTTAAAGACTATGTTACGCAGGAGCGTGCGCGCATCAAATTTGTTTTGTCTTCACTGACCTTGCCTCAGTACTCGTCTCGCTCTACCACCCTGTGGAGGATCTGAAGATGCCGGAGTGCAGTGATGGCCCGGCAATGGTGGACTGCGAATCCGGCCCTCTGTGCTTGGTCCACATCATGGCACTCAATTCGGGGCCACAGCGCGCTTTCACTTGCCTCCATGAGCAGCGCACAGAGTCGCGCGACATTCCTGCCATGATGAACCTCACGATGTCCTGGCAGTGTCTGGAAGCTCGCTCGTGCAGCTCTGCCTCCTGAAAGGCCATGGGGCACCGTGGTTGCAGCTTCACTGCAAAACCTCCAGAGGAAGGAGAGTCACCGACCCGCTGCCTCTTTGCCCAAGATGCTGGCCCAGTTCCACTGTGAACTCGGCCATGCTCATGTCCTCAGAAGCGGGACTGCTCAGCTCTCCAGTCGATTCCTGGGAAGCATTCTGCTCTGCTGCATGCTCCGCAACTGCTTCCTCCGCCGCCCGCTGTTCGGCCTGCGCCGCGGCCGCTAGCCAGCTGCAGTGTCAGCTCTTCTGGGACCTGCGACGGGGCACGAGACTCCGCAACGGAGTAGGCATCGGTCTTCACCGCGGCGGCGACTGCAGCTGCGCTGCCAGCTCTTCATCATCTTGCTGCAGCAGGCGGTCAACCAAGCCAGCAGCCGCCTCTCGTGCCTCTTGCGCAGCAGTAGATGGAAATGAGACTTGTGAACCACCCTCCGTCCACATGTTGCAGCTCGCACTGCTCACCTTTGCAGCCACCGCTGCTTCTGCAGCCATCAACGCCACCGCCGGAGCTGCTTCGCGCAAACCATCCTCTTTGCCGGAGCCACCTCGTGATGACCTGTAGAAGCGGATCGCTCTCTGCAGCAACATCGCATATGCTTCGCCTCCATGCCTACAGTGGTACCAAGGGTTGGTTTAGGGTTTAGGGTTAGGGCAGAGAACACGGGAATGCAAAAGAACATGGAAATGACTATCTAGGGCTTAGGCTAGTGAATGAAGGGATGGAAAAGAAAGTAAAGGCTATCTAGGGCCTAGGGCAGTGAAAAAATGAATTGAAAGTCAATGGAAACTATCCTCTAGGGTGAGGGCTAAAAAGGGTACGGAATGACGGAATGGAAATGATAAAGGGAAACTACTGTTAGGGCCTCCGGTCTAGATCATGAAGGAATGGCAAGGCACCTCAAACTACTGTGTAGGGCTTAGCGAATACAATGAAGGATTGGAAGGGAAAGTGGACACTACTACATCAGTCAGGGCTACTATAGGTATTCGTTCCCCATTGCCTGTTGAAAGCCCGCAAGTCTAAAATGGTTCATGGAACCTGGATCATGCGAGTATTCTTCGTTTGGTGGTCATGCCAAATTAGATTCTGTTATTCATATAAATTATTGTTCTCTATCTTGGGGACTATAGTCCTCCCAAAAATTTAAGAATTTCCGGAAAATGGCCTCCGGTGTATTATATCTAATGACACAGCCCTTGCTTCTCAAACCCAGAAGAATCTATCATGCAAAGCCCTTCATGCTTTGCAGCCTGAATTTTGACCCCTACACCATGTATTGCCCTTCAATTGCATGTTGCAAGAAGCCAAAAGACAAACGCGCGACGCTCGCATTACTTGCAGGTTGAGCAAGTAGACTTACAACACCTATAATATGCCAGATAATGAGCCCAGCAATATCCAGTGAGTAGGTCTACTTATGACAGCTTAGAGTCTAGGGTTAAGGGTTTAAGAATCATACTGATACTATTAACCAGGTTATCCGCATCCTGTAGCTACATACCATCCTTCCAATTATTCCGGATCACCTCGCGGCCGGCTCTTACCTGGAGCAGGTGGCTTGAGGGTAGACTCCCTACTTGGAGGTGCGCGGTTGAGGGTTCGGGTTTAGGGTTTAGGGTTAAGGATTACCCAAACCCCCAAAGTAGGTAAAATAATGGCCTAAACCCCCTAAATATAGCCCAAAAGGCCATTATTCTACATACTTTGGGGGTCCAGGTAGGGTACAGCCACATACTGTACTTGTGAGCCAACTATGCACATATTAGCTGACTAGAGGCGGCTTTTTCCAAATCTGACTGTATGCACCAGTTATAAGGTCCCCTTCTGTGATTATAGTTGGGTTATACGTAGAATTGTAGTTGGGTTATGATAAGCCATGAACCTCCTAGTATGGGTTTACGGTTTAAGCGAGGTTTAGGGTTCAGGGAATTCGGGGTTTATAGGGATATAGGATTTAGGGCTTGGGGAATATTGGGACTATATAGGTTATATAGAGTTACGGGTTTAAGGTTTAGGGTTCAAGGAGTTTAGGGTGTAAGGTTTACATGATTTACGTCACATGAATGGAAAGCCAGCTCACAAAATGACAGACCATACTTTACCGTGCAACAGGGGAAGAGCTACCCAAAATTAGAGTCTACTGCTTTCAAGATACCTAGAGATCCTAGGTGCCCAAATCTAGGCTTCAGGGTTTGGGGCTTACAGTTTAGGGTAGGAGTCCGGGACAATTTGATACTGTATACCAAACATCCTGCATGACCTTACTATACTATAGCAGCCATGGTTCCCAAGATATAGGGTACTGGGCCATAGGACATGACCAATTTTATATATCCCTATAAACCCTAAACCCTCAAAAGTAATTTCCATTCCATTTCCATTATCACTATGTAACCCCTATGCAACCCCACATTCTATTTACTTAAGGGGGACTATATTGGGGCCCTCCACATGCCATGCCGTGTTTTGGCCTAGCAACTCACCTTCGGGGCTCCAGCTCAAGGCACAAAGCTGACCAGAAGCCTAAACCCTTAAACTGAACCCTGAACCCCTAAATCCTGAACCCCTGAATCCTAACCCCTAAATCCTAACCCCTAAACCTAAACCCTGAACCCTAAACCCTACACCGCAAACCCCTAAACTTCGGGATAGTTGTGAGGTGCAGAACCCTAAAACCGTCCCACTATGCCGCGGTCACTTTCGGAATGCTAGGTTGGTAGTGTGTGGGGGCTATATGATATTATGGAGCTGAGTACGGAGTTTTGGGGGACCCTGAGTTCTTAACTTCAGCTGCACCCTAAGACCCTAAACCCTAAACCCTAAACCCCTAGGCTTTAGCCCCTAAACCCTCGACCCTAGAGCTTGAACCGTAAACCTGGACTATTCCCAGCATTTTCTGGAATGCCTACATCTCATTCCCATGTACTTTAGATCCTTCCCCCCTCAGACTCCCAGGGAAAAAAGAAAGCATTCTTGATCATTCTTGTAATGATTTTGGGAAAACCTCACCCAACAAGTAATTATGAAGAATCCCTAACTTGCACTCTGTAAACCCTAGGGCTAGTTAGGGAATATGGGTTTAGGGTCCTGAAAGGAAGGGTCCCCTTCATTTGCCGCGAACAATGTCATGTCCTCCTTATGCAGTAACAAGGAGCTAAACTCTAAACCCTACCCGCTGGGCAAGCAAAATCCTGCATCCTAAACTTACTGGGCGGTAGGGAATTAGGGAATGTTTTTTATATAGGGATTATAGGGATTACATAGGGATCATATTCCTTCATTCCCTACTAATCCCAAACAAAAAATCCTTCATCCCCAAGTTTCAGAAAGGCCCAGGTCTTCTGACCAAGCAGCCCGCGCAAAGCAGCGCTTTCGCAAGGCGTCTGCAGCCGCCTCCCTGGAGCAATGACGAGTTTTAGGGTTTACTGCCTTTGGTTGGCTGGGAATAAAGGACTGTTAAAGAAAATGGAAACTACAGGGATTAAAGTGATTAAGGAGATTTAGAAGGTTTAGGGTTTAGGGTGGGAATGAAGGAATGGTAAAGAAATTGGAAACTACAGGGATTGTAGGGATTGTATAGGTTTTAGAGTTTGGGGTGGGAATGAAGGAATGGAACGGACAATGGAAATGACGATAATGGGTTGGTTACATAGGGACTACTTTAAGGATGCATTCCTTCATTCCTAGNNAGCTAACCAAAGGCCAGTCTGGGGTTCAGGGTTTTAGGGCTCTAGAATTTCGAGCGAAGTCAGACTTGAATACTGAAGACTCCTATGAGACATGTAATAACCCCCGGGTATCTGAATTGTTTACGCAGCTACTAAGTCCCCTGACCCTTCCAGAGGCGGACCCCCCAAATGCCAAATGAGAGGGACTAACAGGCCCACTAAGAAGGGCCCTCTGAAGCGAATTACTTAGGGTTTTGGGTCTAGGGTCTA